CCCCCGCGTCATCATTATTGTCAGTAGATCCGACCATGTCTTACCCTGAAAAGTTCCTGGCCTTTCAGTCGCCGAGTGCGGACAAGTGGCTCGACTTTGAGAAGAACTCGTTCGTCCCCCGTCCGTTTGGCGACTACGACGTCGACGTCAAGATCGAGTGCTGCGGCGTGTGCGCCAGCGATAAGCACACCATCAGCGGCGACTGGGGCCACTGCAATTACCCCCTCGCCGTGGGCCACGAGATCATCGGCGAGGTCGTCAAGGTCGGTTCCAAGGTGACCCTGGCCCAGGTCGGACAGCGCGTCGGCGTCGGCGCCCAGGTCTGGTCGTGCCTCGAGTGCCGCCAGTGCAAGAATGACAACGAGACGTACTGCAAGCATCTGATCGACACGTACAACGCGCCGTACCTCGACACCGGCCACATCACTCAGGGTGGATACTCTTCCCATGCTCGTGTTCACGAGTTCTGGTATGTTCTCTCTCTCTCTTCCTGTCCCTTATGACATTCTCGCTCCCCGCTCCCTTTTTTTTTTTTTTTTTTTTGTCGTGGATGGAGAACATGTAGGCTGACGCAGCCTCTTGTTCGAAACAGGGTCTACGGCATTCCCGAGAAGATCAGGAGCAGCGTGGCGGCCCCTTTGCTCTGCGCCGGCATCACTGTGTACAGTCCCCTGAAGCGCCTGGGCACCGGGCCGGGAAAGAAGGTGGGCATCGTGGGCATCGGCGGCCTGGGCCACTTCGCCGTCATGTTCGCCAAGGCCATGGGCGCCGAGGTGTGGGCCATCTCGCGCAGCCGGGCCAAGGAGGCCGACGCCCGCCAGATGGGCGCCGACGGCTTCATCGCCACCGGCGAGCCCGACTGGAACGAGCCGCACAGGCTGACGTTTGACATCATCATCAACACGGCCACGTCGTTTGACGGCTTCGAGATGTCGAGATACCTGTCCATGCTCGACGTCCACGGCCACTGGAATTCGGTCGGCCTGCCCGGCGGTGAGGGCATGTCCATCCGCAACCAGGACTTCATCGCCAACGGCTGCTTCATCGGCAGCTCCCACCTCGGCAGCCGCAGCGAGATGCTCGAGATGCTGCAGCTCGCCGCCGACAAGGACATCACCACCTGGGTCGAGGAGATCCCCATGTCCCGCGAGGGCCTGCAGAAGGCCATGGAAAAGCTCGAGAAGAGCTCGGTCCGCTACCGGACGTGCATGGTTGCATTCGACAAGGCTTTTGCCGAGTAGAATCGACCTGGACCCGTGCACCTGATTAGGAGGGGTTCTTGAGGAGAAGAAGACGGACCAAGAGATGGAGTGGGAATAGTAATGACGAGATTAGATTTGCGGAAGGAAGGGAAGAATGAGAGGAAGAATACAGCACGAGTAAATCTGTCTCGTGGGTTGAGATGGCACTCTTGTAGTTTTGTGAGGGTGGGGGAAGTTGGGGGAGGAGGAGGCACGAGGTACACGCTACCTTGATGGTCTTATTTCGGGTGTCGATGACGCCAGCCGTCCACCTGTCTCTCAAGAGGAAAGATGAGATCGGAGGATAATGAGATTCCTCTTCAGAAAGTCGTAATCTCTTCTTCTTCTGCTCCGCCGTCGTGACTGGCGGGCGGGGATTTTCGCATTCGGAGGCATTGCTGTTCCCAGGTCGGAGATCTCCACATTGTATCATCATCACCACACTTGAGCATCACCCGCTCCCGCTTTGGTCTTTTTGAGGTTCCCATCTGCCTAGTATCATATCATCCCATTCTTCTACCTGTACAAGATCTGGAATCTGGTGAGCCTCGGCTACCGCGACGGAATACCGATACTATCAGTCTATCAGCTGCCTACTCGGGCATCTTCTCTCCCCTTCATCAAGACTGACGTCTACGTCGACGCGTAACTGTACCCCGACAACTCCGATACCCTTCGTATCAGAAAAACTCCCGTCCGATTGAAAGAGGTATTCAAGCCATGATAAACATGTCGTGTCGCTCATGGCTTGGCCTGCCATTCTCAGATGGAGGTGCATCCGTTGGAAGTAACCAGTAATACTACGTGTACTGTCAATGACGGTATGCGGCGTTGGTGACTCACGCCGAGATCAACCCCATGTTGATCCTCGGTTTTGTTGCGATTCAGTCGCAGAATTCGCTTGTTCATGGTAGGAGAGGAGGAGACAAGAGCTTTGGAATCCATGTCGAGAACCATCATCACCGCACTCTTCAGGCTCTTGGCTACTCGTACACCCAGCTCAGCAGCCCTAGCCCTGCCCGACCAAACTGTTTGAATGACCACGGTATGTACTCATCTTGTAGGGATACATGATATGACGAGTAGTTCGTGAACGAGAGAGCTTTGGTAATGCATCGTGTGTCATCCCATTGGCGTGGTAGCTGGAACCCACCGGTCAGCGCGCATTGCCCAATACGCAAAATGTGGCTTGCGGGACTAACGGTGCACGGTCTGGATTTATTGCTTTCCTGCGGTTGCTTACTCAATCGGATTTGAAATCCAGCAGTGACTCGTCGCGGGAAGGCATATACTTCTGAACCGTTTATATATATTTATATGTGTGTGTGTGTGTGTGTGTGTGTGTGTGTGTGTTCGTACAAAGATCAGCCTGCCTACCAGCCGCCAATTGTCACATGTTGCACCCTCTATGAACAGCTTACTGATTCTCCTTGGATGTATGTGAAAGCATGCTCGAACTAGAGGACGAAAGAGAAGTCAGGTTAAGAGGAGCTGACACCGGACTCACAGGGCTTCATTGCAGAATACAGACACCTCGCTGACCCTTCGAGTCAGGAGAGTCGTCTCGCGCTCCGAAATCACCCAAGTCCGACTCTCACGGTCATGGACAGCCCTGGCCGTCTACGCCGTGACACTGCGCTCCCCCCAGTCATGGGTTGACGTCTTCAGCCTCTCCCCTCCCCCCTACCCCTCCTCCTCCTCCTCTCCGTCCTCCCTCTCCGTCAAGGGCAGCAACGGCGGCAGAGGCAGGGTGTGCCAGGGCGACTCGTCAAAGTCCCTGTCCAAGACGTGCGGCTCGCAAGCTGCCTTCAGCCCGGACACGCGGCGCGTAGCTACGCTGCGCGACTGGACGACCCAGCTGGGCAGCGGCGCCGAGCTCCACTACGCGACGTCCATCCTGATCCGGGACACGGACAGCGGCAGGACCACGCTCGAGATCGAGGGGATATGCGCCGGGGGCCCCCTATGCTGGAGCCCGGACGGGCGGTGGATCATCGCTGCGACGGCGGACGGCAGTGTCGGCGGTGGTGCAGGTGCAGGCTCCGGCGGACACAGGCTTGGCGTGTGGGATTCCCGCAGTGGCAGCCGCGCAGGCCGCGGCATGCTGGGCCACGTCGACCGCGTGACGCACTCGGCCGTGACGACGGACCGCACCGTAGTCTCCCTCTCGCGCGACGCGTCCATCCGCCTGACCAACCCCCTCACCGGCCGCACCGTCGCCCGTCTGGAGATGGACGCCGGTGGCGGCGGGGCTGGCTCGGCCGCCCCCGCCGTCATGACCGCGGCCAATAACCTGCTGGCTGTCGGGGAGGATGGTGAGAACGGGGGCAGTGTGACCGTCGCCGCCGTCTGGGGGGGCAGCCGTGTCGTCCTGTGGCACCCGTACGCCCCCGACGCCACGTTGACCTCCTACGCCCTCCCGTCCGTGCGCTCCGTCGAGGGCTGGCCTCTGACCATCTCGTCGGATGCAAAGTACCTGGTCTGTCGTACGGAGGACGGCTTCGATGTCACCGACCTGGCTACCGGAGCGCTCCTGTGTCAGGCTGTTGTCGAGGAGGTCGTCACGGCGGCGTGCTTTTCGCCGGACTCATCCGTCGTTCTGATTGGGCGCATGGACGGCGTGGTCGAGGCGTGGGACTTTGTAAGACGCGGATCCGATGCTGGAGTTGGCAAGAATTGAAGTCCATAAACGTATTTGGAGTTGTTGTCTTGGGGAGCTTCTCTTCTTCTTCTTCTTTCTGTTTTCATTTATCTTTATGCTTGTTGTTGTTGTTATCTATTGTCGGATCAATATATTGACACCTATCAAGCGAGCGACTGCATACGATTATTACACACCTCATGTCCATCCAGATCAGTAATACGCTCCCGGGATATTGGAGATGGCCGCTGTAGGAGGACGGGGACAGTGACTGAGCGAGACGAGGAGGATTTATACATTACTGACTGCCAGCGTCTCAACGCGTTGGCCGTGTTCGATGAGATCAGGTATATCCTGTCCTTGGTCTCGGGGGGGGGGGGGGGGGGGGGGGCGCGGCGTAGAGAACTAGCGGGGGATTCATGTCTGGTAGGCACAGACTAGATCGGCCATCTGAAGCCCCATCGCACCACATCATGGGATACTAATATTGAGAACAATACTTAGCAGTTTGACTGCTCAGGGAAAATCGGTGCTGTTCTTTACATCTGTATCATCACGCCGAGACTTGCCTTTTCTGGACGGCCTTGCTGGGTCGGATATGACGGCGTGCGGGGCAAGTTGCGACGGATAAATGTCCGATCGTCGGGGATCCCCTCCTCTCTGCTCCCTACCTCTGATGACGACGGCATGAGAGAGGGACCCTCCAGGGAAGGATTTAAGAATGTGGATCAGCCCGCCTTCTAGACTGTCCCTGACCTCACCTCGTTCTTGTTCTGTGACTACGAGTACTTCGACCGCCCCCGATCGACGCCTCACTCGCAACCACCATCACGACGACAGCAACGATGTCGGTCCCGACTGAATTTACCCTCAACACGGGGGCTAAGATCCCCGCCGTTGGACTCGGTATGTTCTCATAGCCAACCCGATACTGGTTGCGCCATCCGATGACGGGGACTGTATGGCTTACCTGGGTGTCCGTCAAGGTACTTGGCAGGCAGCGCCGGGCGAGGTGCGAGTCGCCGTGGCCGACGCTATCAAGCACGGATACCGTCACATCGACGCAGCCCTGTAAGTCAGAATACAGGTGAAGGCGGAAGGCATATATATGCATCGGAAGCGATCATTAACCGGCCGCGTAGGATTTACCGTGAGATCTTACCACACGACTTGTGTGCCGATGTGACAGCAGTCTAACACTCACTCTCTCCTCCTTCTTTTTCTCTCCTAGGCAACGAGAACGAGGTTGGTCAGGGTATCAGGGATAGCGGCGTCCCTCGCGAGGAGATCTTCCTCACCAGCAAGCTGTGGAACACGTACCATGACAATGTCAAGGAGGGTCTCCAGAAGTCTCTTGATGCTCTCGGTGTCGACTACCTCGACCTCTATGTACGTTCCTCATGCAGAATGCTCTCAGTTCTGGCAGCCCCCTCTCTCCCCCAGACCAGCCAACCGACTGGCTGACCGACATTCGATCCAACAGCTTATTCACTGGCCCGTTCGCCTGGTCCCGGTACGCTGATCCCCCCTGTCGCATGCCTGTTTCTTCTTACCCCGCTATACATTACTGCCAAATATCTCGGATCTTGCTGACGAGGCCCCCAGAATGGGTCGAGCGAGTTCTTCCCCGTCAACCCCGACGGCACACGCGCGGTGGACAGGTCATGGAACCTGGCCGACACGTGGCGCCAGATGGAGGAGGTGTACAATAGCGGCAAGGTCAAGGCCATCGGCGTCTCCAACTGGTCGATCCCGTACCTGGAGGAGCTGAGCAAGACGTGGACCGTCGTCCCGGCCGTCAACCAGGTCGAGCTGCACCCTTACCTGCCGCAGCACGAGCTGCGCCAGTACTGCGCCGACAAGGGCATCCTCCTCGAAGCCTACTCGCCGCTGGGATCCTCCGGCGCCCCCCTCATGTCCGACTCGGAGATCCAGAAGATTGCTGACGCCAAGGGCGTCTCGCCCGCCACCATCCTCATCAGCTACCATGTCAACAAGGGCACCGTGGTGCTGCCCAAGTCCGTTTCGGAGAAGCGCATCGCCAGCAACAGGGAGGTCGTCAAGCTATCTGGCGATGAGCTGGCGGTCCTGGATGGCCTGGCCGCTGCTGGGAAGGCGAAGCGCATCAACACGCCGCCGTGGGGGTTCGACCTCGGCTTCGCTGACTGGTATGGGCCCGTCAAGTCGAATTGAGGATGTTTTGCGCGAAGACGACTGGCAAATAACAAAAAAGTCTGAGTGGATGAGGCACTTTTCCGTAGTCAAGAGTTCTTCCCCCCCCCCCTTTCGTCTTTGGCTCTGTATCGTATCGTAGGGCATTACAATCAAGACATGATGGCATATATATATCCCTTGACTACGGCAATATAGAAGAAACCGCGGAAACTCTCACATTATGAGAGGATATACAAGTTCTAAATAGAAATAGCATTGAATAAAGGGCGCCAGTGTAATTCAGGTCTCGATGAAACTGCTCAGACAAGAGGCCACACTACTCAGTGCGATATGAATCATTGCTTCTCATGGGCAATCACCGGCGTTGACCGGACCTCTCCGACCTTTGAGACGGAGCCCTTCCCAGACTCCTCATCGTTGGAGTCCTGGTCTCGCGGGGCTTCGAGGCCGATGCTCTTGCCTCTCCGCTTACGGATGAACTCGTCCACCTTGCGGATGATGGCCAAGCACAGACCAAAGGACAAGACACCTAGATTGATGGAGAATCCGGTGCGGTACTTGGGCTTGTCGGACTCGCGGAAGATCTGGGCGCCGTAGATGCCGGCGGTGTTGGCTGCCATGATGACCCTAAATAGAAGAAGAGAAAGAAGAGAGAGTCAGTGAGCGTTGGCGGATTGCAGGAGCCTCCACAGCCTAGGCTTTTGACTTACATGGCCATGGCGACGGCACGCTCCTCGGAGTCATGGCAGGCGAGGGACATCCAGGCAATGTTGAGAGGGTGGGAGAAGGTGGCAAAGGTCTGAGTCCAGACGATACCAAAGTACTTGGCTCCCTTGCGGTCGTCGCCGAACTCGGTGAAGCCGCGGTTGAATATGTTGCCGAGCAAGTGGCAGCTCAGGCCGGCGATGACGGTCTCGGGGCGTTGGTTGCTGTTGGGGGGGTGGGGGGGGAATTCTGTCAGCGGGATCCGGCACGGGGACGCAGGCAGTTAGAAAGGTCGGTGCGGTGAGAGACGTACTAGTGGTCGGAGACGTAGCTGAAGGCGAACGAGACGGGAACCTGAAGCCAGAGACCAACCGAGGCCATGGCATTACTGGTGAGCTTGGGGAAGCCGAAGCCGGAGACGATGGTAGGCGAGTAGGTGTCGAAGGCGCGCTGGGGTCCATTGTTGCAGAGAGAGATGCAGGTGTGAACCCAGAGCCTCCAGTTGGTGAACTGCCATGATGTCAGCTGTCTGTCGGATGGAGCACGTCAAGGATGCGGGGCGTTCGGTGGTTCCCGACAACTTACGGCCCTCTTGAAAGCGCTGCGGTCAATCTTCTTCTTCTTCTTTCCCTTCATGGGGTCGTCCAGCACCACCCTGGTGCGGAGGATGTGGAGCTCGCGATCTGTGAAGAAGCGGATACCAGGCGCAAAGGTAGACCGGGGGTTCTTGAACGAGTCCGGCAGGAAGAGGCCGAAGACGAAGCCTCCGCAGACGGTGAAGCTTCCCATGAGGATGAAGAGCCAGAACCAGCCCGACTTACCGCCGACACCGCGCATATGGAGGATTCCGTAGGCCAGCAGCTTGGAGGAAGCCTGGCCGATCTGGTTGCCAAAGTAGAAGACCATGACGCGCTTGGCCGTCTCCTTGCGGGTGTACCAGGTCGACAGGGTCCACAGGCCGCCGGGGATGAAACCCGACTCTGTCATGCCGAGGAGGAAGCGCGTGGCGATGAAGGAGCCGTAGCTGTTCTGGAAGGCCTGGAAGGTGCTGACGATGCCGAAGAGGAAGAGCTGCAGCGTGAGCCACTTGCCGGGGCCGACGCGGTACAGGATCATGTTGGAGGGTATCTCGAAGAGCACTGAGAGCAGAGAAGGTCAGTGCCTGGAACGGATAGAGAGTGTGCATACCGGGCGTGCCGCGTACCGATACCGAGGGACAGCATCTGCTGACCGACGTTGAACTGGTCCTGGTCGACGCCGACGTCTTCCATGAAGGTGTCGGTGATGGCATTGGAGATGTTTCCACGGTCGAGTTCTGCAGGTGCGCGTATATTAGTACCGTCGATACAGGACAGGAAATCGGGCTGGGTCTTTGGGGGAATAAGAGAGAACGAAACAAGACAAAGACAAGACGAGAAACAAAAGAAACGAAGGTTGTAGGGTGGCACTAACGCAGACAGAAGAAGCCCATGGTGAGGATGGGCATGATGATCAAGTCGAGCCTATCCATGAGTGTCAATGCCAAGGAAACTGAGATCATTACTTGCTACCTCCATCTCCCTTTTTTTTCCTCGAAATGTTTTTTTTTTCTTCTTGAGGTCACCGTGGGAAGCGATCCCGAGAGTGCTCGTGCTGGACTTACTTGAGCTTCGCCCTCCGCTCCTCATCCTTGGACCAGTCGACTTCGAGGTGCGGCGTCTCCTCTTCATCCGGAGGATTGGAAGGCTCGCTCCTGGCGAGTTTTGTGCCGAAGATACCCATATTGGCGCTTGCCGGTCAAGGACCAGCGTCGTAACTAGATTCGACCGCGGTACTCTCTTGTGGTCGGAATCTTGCTCTTGTCAGTTCTAGGCGCTGGGGGTGTGTCTCGGAGAGCCTTCAGCTTCTGCGCAGGACCAGGTCGGGTAGGGTGAAGGAGGGCAGGAAGGGACAGCGGATACCGGAAGGGAGAAGAAGTGCAAGGGAACATGATCCTTATACCCAGATGCCTGGGGAACGGTCCCCGGTCCCTCCTCCTCCTCCTCACACCTTTTCTTCGGCGGATGGCGCAGCCCGATCCCCCCCCCCCCCCCCACAGTTCTCGACCGCAACCTGCTCATGTTCCCCGTCGGGTTGTCGCAAATTAACGTAAGTCTGCGAAGCAATAGACTGTCCAGGTCTACGAGTAAGGTGTTGTGTAGATAGCATCATCAAGATGGCCGATCACGACATGGCAAGAGTTTTTAAGCTTATAGTTTAGCTTGCCCCGGCCAACTCCGCTACCATGCATCAGAACGCCGGAAAAGCCAGAGTTTGGAACCGACGGCACGGGGATGAGAGCCTATCATGTACTCTGGAGAGCTCACCAAGCTGGACGGGTGGATACAGCACGGGCTATCGCGCCGTTGACTGCTCGTCTTGCGTGGGAGGCTTGGCGGAACTCGGTGCTCCCTGCCTTTCTCTTCCTTCTTTTTTTCTCTCTTCTGCGGAGTAGCCGACTGGAAAAGGCTTCGATGGTCCGACCAGCTGATCCACACCGTTCAGAGGTGTGATGATGGCTTCTCCGTCCGAGACTATGACTATCCAAGGGTGAATATAGTAGCATCACGAGTACACACTACACGTAACCTATGTATCTGTGCGTGGAATCTCTCGCGGATTCAGAATCTGGGTGCGAAGTAACGAGAGAGATCTTCAGCATCAGATATTCGCTCCATGTCGAGGATAGCAAAGCAAACCCTGCGACTTTCTGCACCAGTGGGGGTGGCCGACCACTGCACGTGTGCCCTACGAAGTATTATTAGATGCTAAGGAAATAATATCGCATCATGCGCAGAGACGAAAGAAGAGAAAAAGAAAAGAAAAAGAAAAAGAAAAGAAGAGGACGAGACAGAGTCCTGGACCGCCCCCCCCCCCATCCGCATCCGCCGAGGTGCCAAGACACTAGATACGAAGACGAATACAAGCGCGAGCCGAGACCCTGGTGAGTTGGGACACTAAAAGGAGAGTAGCTAGAACGGGATGTGGGAAATGGATGAGAGCGCAATTTAATATGAATACCTATGTACAGATTAGACCTGGCAGTTGGTGATATTACAACAACCAACAATAGCATTACGGATATACAATGTATTACGTGTGAGAACGGACAGGGTGGCCAAGGTGACCTAGTCCTACTAATCTGCACTCGTATACTCGTATATGTATCATTCTACTAGTTGCTGCTCCTTTCGTTCCTTTTCCCTCTTCTACCTCGGGGCCGCCTAGTTGTCCCGTCGCTCTTGGATAGAGTATCAATCTTGGATATCCTTGTATATACAGATTATATGACAGTACTGATCATCACTCGCCACCTCTTTATTATCCGGTCCCACCATGGCGTGATACTGGTAACAACCTCTCATGTGTACTCTCGTACACGGTCGCAAGTTACGTCTATTATGGCGAGCATATAGTGTAAATCACATGATCACAGGGAATGATGAGAGGGTTCCCATCACCATCTACCTGTGTGTATGTATATATGTATATACTCATATGTACATGCTCATACATATACTTGTACTGCCGGCAGTTGATCATAATACGGCCCAAGGCGCCTAGTAATATTGCGAACATAGGTTTCTCCATCTTATTGACTCCGGGGCTAGAAAGGCGTGAGGGTAATACTTCGTACTAATAATCTATCTGTACATGCATCCATCATACATGCCTTTTATCATCATCATCATCATCAGTATTAGTATTAGTATTGGTATCTTATTGGAATATCGTGCTATTGATCTACTCTACTCGCTCTGCTATCCACTCGATTCTTCTCCCTCAGACCAAGCTCAGCTTCTCTCAGAAATCCGACACCGAAAATCCAACACCGCCGTCATGACCCGAGGGGAACTCCCCAGCCCCCTCCCCCCGGCGTCTTGATCTGCATCAGTTCTCCGGGCCGGAGATCGACAACAGCTTGGCTACCGAGGTTGATCTTGTCCAGGCCACCCTCTGCATTGCGACGGAAGACGGCATTCTCACCTACATTGCCCGGCTGGCCGCCGTCGACTCCGTACGGCGCAAAGACCCTCCTCTCGGAGAGGATGCTCGACCTCATCGGGATCCTCGCCTCGATCTCGCGCGTGATGCCGTCTCCGCCATTCCACCTGCCTCTGCCGCCCGAGCCGCGATTGATCTCGTGCCGCCGCACCAGGACGGGCGTGCGCTTCTCGACCACCTCCGCATCCGTGATGCGTGTGTTGGTGGAATGCACGTGAGTTGCGTGCTCGCCGTGCCAGCCGGGTCCGGCGCCCGTCCCGCCGCCGATGGACTCGCCGTAGTTCCAGCCCGGCTCGATCTTGCCCGTGTCCGGGTTCCGTCCGCCGATGCCCCAGCCGAAGCTGCTGGCGCAGCCCTGGAAGGCGGCGACGCAGTGGAAGGCCCGCAGGATCACGTCGATCACCCGCTGGCTGGCCAGGGTGCTGCCGCAGACGGCCACCGACGGCTGCGGGTTCAGCACCGAGCCCTTGGGCACCCGTATCTCCACCGGAGCCAGGCATCCCTGGTTCAGCGGTATGTCCATGTCTATGAGGCAGCGTAGCGTGTAGATGACGGCCGAGTGAGCGATCGAGATGGGGCAGTTGATGTTGCTCCAGCACTGCGGGCCGGTACCGTCAAAGTTGAACACGGCAGATCCAGTCTCGGCGTCGACCGTGATGCCGAGCTTGATCTTGGTCCCGTTGTCGAATACGTCCTCGGCCCCCAGTCCGTCGGGGTGCTGCGCCGCCACGTCGCGGAGGAACCTGCGCACCGCAGCCTCGGCGTTGAGCTGGATCCCGCCCATGTACCTCTGCACGGTCGGCAGCGAGAACTCGTCGCAGAGCCGGCCGAGGAGCTTCAGGCCGCGCTGGTTCGAGGATATCTGGGCCTTCAGGTCCGACACATTGTCCTGGAAGCGTCGGGTGGGGCTGCACCCCGGGAAGCTGCCGGCAAGCTCAAAGGCCCGGCGGACCTCGTCCTCGAGGAACTCGCCTCCGCTGACGATCTTCATGGACGTGACGTTGAGGCCCTCCTCCCACAGCTCCTTGGAGTCGGGCATCATCGACGTGATGCCCTTGCCACCTTGTCACGGAAATACGCATCAGAAAGCGGGGACTTGGAGGGCGGGGGGGGGGGGGGGGGGGGGAGGAAGAAAAACTGGGGGGGGGGGGGGGGGGGGGGGGGGGGGGGGGAACATTGCCGGCCGGCTCTTGCTCTACATACCGATATCTGTGTGGTGACCCCGGCTAGCCGTGTAGAAGGCGACTTGACCGTCGACGAAGATGGGCGTGATGACGGTGATATCCGGCAGATGCGTGCCCCCCCACTCGGGGTGGTTCGACATGAGCACATCGCCCGGCTGGAGCTTGCCTCTCCACAGCTTGTGCTGTGCCTGGATGGCCAGCTGCATGCTCCCGAGATGGATGGGGATGTGAGGCGCGTTGGCTACCAACTGTCCGTCGGACGAGAAGATTGCGCAGGAGAAGTCGAGCCGCTCCCTGATGCTCGTGGAGATGGCTGTCCGCTGGAGCGTGCTGCCCATCTGCTCGGCAATCGACATGAACCTGTGGGCGAAGACGGAGAGCTGGATGGGACTGAAGGTGTCGTCGCCGGCCGATTCCGACGTCGAGGACCCCCCGGGCTCGACCCTGTCGATGATGACGTGGTCCGGCAAGATGTAGGCTCGGAACCGGGCTTCCACGACGATGGTCTGCGTCTCGTCGAGGATGAGCGCCGGTCCGTCGACGAAGGTACCTCGCTCGACATCGGCTAGCCTGTACACGCCGCTATCTCTCCAGGCGCCATCGATGTACAGGGTCTGCACCTTGGAGGCTTTGGCCGGCGTCTGCCTCGTCTGCGCTGCGGCCAGGTCCTGCGTCGGCGGCGCAACGGCACCGCCCTTACCGGCGGTGCCGGAACCGCGCACCGTGATGGAATCAATTATTATTCTGCGGTCGAGGTTGAAGGCGAACTCGCGCAGATGCTCGGTCCTGAACGCCTTGCCGTAGTCGTCGTCGTCTGGCCGTAGGATGGAAAGGATCGTGTCGGTGCCAAAGTAGTGCAGGCCCAGCACCTCGTCAAAGGTAAGCGTCTCCTTGGAAGCTCCCTGCGAGACGAGATCTTCCTGGACCTGGCATCTGAGCCGGTCAAGGACCCGTCTGATCCGAGGGAGTTCGGAAAGGGAGAAGTCGGCCGCGTGGGGCTCCGATGCCTTGGACCGTAGCTGCGACTGGGAGATGCCGTATGCGGACAGCAAGGATGACCACTTGTGGATTAATATGCGTCGGATCCCGAGCCTGTCGGCAATCGCGCAGGCATGCTCTGTTCACGCAGCTTTAGTAGGTTTCGTCGGCTCGCGAGCGAGGATCGAGCACTTGGACTCACGGCCGCCTGCTCCGCCAAAGCTGACAAGGTTGTGCTTCTCGGGCGCGTATCCCCTCGCCTCTGCAAATGATGGACAAGACCGGTCAGTGACAAGACCTGGATTCTGGACGCAGCACAAGACACGAGACGAACCTGTGGCATTTCGGATGGGCCTGCTCATGGTCTCATTGGCAACATTGATGAATCCGCAAGCCACCTCCTCTGGCGTCAGATGCTGTGACGTCTGGGCATTGAAGTCGTCAGCAATAACCCGAAACTTTTCCTTGACGATTTCTAGGTCGAGAGGCTCGTTGGAACCTGGGCCGAAGACGGATGGGAACGACGTCACGTCGAGGCGGTTCAGGAACAGGTTCGCGTCCGTGACGGTCAGCGGCCCGCCGTTCCGGTAGCTGGCCGGGCCAGGATAGGCACCGGCGCTCTCGGGGCCTACGACGAGCAGCCCGTTGCGTGCAAAGAGGATGGACCCCCCTCCCGCAGCGACGGTCTGGATATTGAGCATGGGGACGTTGAGGGTGCGGTTGGCGATGCGTGACTCTGTGAGGTAGTCGTAGTGGCCGTCGAAGCGGCAGACGTCGGTGCTCGTGCCGCCCATGTCGAGGCCGATGAGGGGGTCGGCCGACTCACCAAAGTAGCAGGATCTGGCGACGCCCACGACACCACCCGCGGGCCCGCTGACCAGGGCCTCGTTCCCACCAAACCTGGCGGCCTGCTTGAGCCCGCCATCCGAGCACATGAACTCTGTGCGTCGGGGGAGCACATCGAACCCGGTCTCGAAACCCTCAATGTACCGTCTTATGACGGGATAGAGGTACGCCTCGGAACAGACCGACGTGCTGCGCCGCAGGTACTTGATCGTTCGGCTCGTGTCGCTCGAGATGGAGACGTACCGGAAGCCAACATCCCGCGCGATCCCCTCCACGATCCGCTCGTGGTCCGGGTACAGATACGAGTGCAGGAACGAGATTGCGAGGGATGTATAGCCTTCCGAACGGAGTGACAGCAGCTGCCCGCGCACCTGGGCCGTGTCGACCGCCTTCAAGACGCGGACCACCTCGCCGCTCTCTGTCCTCCGGAGACCGGGGTCGGCATCGACGGCCGCGGACGACTTGTCCAGAGGAGACGGGTTCAGGTCGTAGTCCTCGATGGTGATGCGCTCGTCCACTTCGATGACCCTGTCGTGGAGCGCCTTGGCCTTCTCCACGCGCAGTGCGAAGATGTCGGGCCGTGTCTGGTCGCCGATGATGCACACATCCTTGAATCCCTTGGTTGCCACGAATGCGAACCTCTCACCCTTCTGTTCCAGCAAGGCGTTGGTGGCGACCGTCGTGCCTATGCGACATGACGCTGTTGATCTCTCAGGCGCACATTAGGACGAAGCTCGAAACAGGCTTGGGCCATATCAGACTGCTCCTTCTCTCGAACGCACCGATTCTCGAGCCATCCAGCTTTTCGCCTCGGGGAATGGACCGGCCTTGTGCCCGTTCGAGAACGCGGCGGATAGCCTCCGTCGGTGCATCGCTGTAGTTTCCCGGGTCCTCGGATAGAATCTTGAAGACGTATGGGCTCTGATCTCCGACGGTCGCAATCACATCGCAGAACGTGCCACCCCGGTCGATGGCGATGTCGATGTCGTTACTGTCCATCGAGCGATCTTCACAAGGTGCCATGCTGTATTCCAAAAGACCCGGTTCGTTCTCTCTCTACCTCTATCGCCTTCGAATCTCACCAGACTCGGTTCTGCCAATGTATCTATAGACGCAAATTCCCCTGGGGGGGGGATAGAACAATAATATCGGATGGTCAACGGTCCGCGCCGGTCGGAATGAAACGGCTTGGCCGAGATTTGCCTAATTGGGTAATAAATTGCCGCGACCGTCAACGGAGACGAAAACTTCCCTATACAGACTCTCCCGTGCATTGATATGGCCCGCAGTCGACCACTGCACCCTTTTTCTGGGCCTCTTTTCTCGATGCAACCTGCAGGTCGGTTGATTTATTCCCTGTGCAAGTAGTCGGCAGTTGGGAACGGGCGCGGGCAAGTCCGATTGAGGTAATTTTCATCATTGCGCAACCAGCAATTCAGATGGCGTATCGTATGCAGTCTCGCGGTAATAGTGTTCCACTCGGCCACGACCAACAAGCAGTAACGATAGTGATAATCATCGACAGAGTCCTTGTGGAAACGAAGGGCTCGCCCCGTATCTTTGCGACTCGCAGGGTTTGACATGCATCTACTGGTGAGATTACGGACTGTTACATCCTGATTTATCGTACCGGCGACATGGCCCCTCTACGGATGGCGTTTATCTTACCGTATTCATGCACAATGGTTACAGGGGCGTCGCTTTTCTTATTCTTTGGACAATCAACATGCTGATGGTCGGTCTTCACCTCTTGTAATATAAACCGTCGGTATATCCACACCGTTTGGGGGGAGGGGAGGGGAGGGAAGGCGACGCGACACGACCTCTCAACTCTTCTAGGCACGAGAGGCTAGGTTGATAGCCAGTGAGGAGGAGTCCAATGCCCCGAAAGATGGAAGACGACCAGAAGGCCCAGATCAAACCCCAATCCGAGGCCAATGTTGCGACCGGAGGGCTGGACGAAGAGTCTGGGATCGCGTCCAACGGCTGCGAAACAAGCAATGTGTCTCTCGCAAAGACAGGTCAGGTGGACAGACGGAGCAGACGCATCCTGCGCGTTATATGGGACTCACTCGACAAGGAGCCCAAGGAACGGGCATTTGTCAACAAGGCAGACTGGTTCATCATGACCTATGTCTGCATATCGTACTTTGTCAAGTATCTCGACCAGACCAATGTATTTCGGACCCTCAACTTCCTATATATATATATATATATATATACAAGTGACTGTTTTAGTTTCGGATGCTGAAAAGCTGACAAACAAACAGGTCGTCAACGCCTACGTGTCCGGCATGAAGGAGGACCTCGATATGGCGGGCAACGACTACAACCTTCTCCAGACAATGTTCACGGTGGGCTACTGCATCGGAAACATTCCTTCGCAGCTCATAATGACGTGGGTCCGTCCATCGATCTGGCTTCCGGCTCTCGAGCTCATATGGGGGTTCATGGTGATGGGGATGGCTGGGGCGAAGAGTGTCGAGACGCTATACATCCTGCGCTTCTTCATCGGCCTGCTCGAGGCCTCAGCCTACCCGGGGATCCTGACTCTCCTGGGCAACTGGTACACGCCGCAGGAGCTGGGAAAGCGGTCGTGCATCTTTGCCAGCAGCGCCTTCATCTCCCAGATGATCTCCGGATACATCCAGGCCGGGCTGTACACGGGCATGGACGGCAAGTACGGCATCAGCGCCTGGCGCTGGCTCTTCATCTTTGACGGCATCATCGGCGTCCCCATCTGCCTCTACGGCTTCTTCGCCGTGCCCGACAGCCCTGCCAACTCGAGGGCGCGCTGGCTCAAGGAGAGCGACAGGGCCATGGCCATCCGGCGCATGGAAGCGGTCGGGCGCACGCCGTCCAAGAAGCTGACGTGGGGTACCGTGCGCGACGTCTTCGCCAGCTGGCCCGTCTACCTCTTCTCCCTGGCCTTTGGATCCCAGCTCCTGGGCTCCCGCGTGACGAACTACTTCGCCATCTACCTCAAGGACACCGGCCGCTACACCGTCCAGCAGGTCAACATCATCCCCACGGCGGGTAACGGATTCCAGGCCGGCTTGGGCCTGGTCTTCGCCTGGGTCAGCGACGGAATCGGCATGCGCCACCCAGTCATACTGTTTGCCGCCGTCATCTCCCTCGTCGGCTGCATCATCCTGTCCGTCTATCCGGAGCGCAACACTACGGCCATGATGGCTGGCTGGATCCTAGCATACGGCGAGCTGAGCGCGTCCGCCCTCATCTTCTCTTGGGTCAACGAAGCCCTATCCTTCTCCGCCGAGCAACGTCTCATCACCATCGGCATCGTCGAGTCCTTTGGTTTCGTCATGAATGCCTGGGTGATCCTGTTTACCTACGACAGCGGTGAGGCCCCGAGATTCAGCATCGGCTACCAGATGGCTGCCATGTTCTTTGCCATCGAGATGCTGTCCGTTATCGCCATATGGTATTGCTACAAGAAATGGAAGCCAGCACCCAGAGCAATGGCGGAGTAGGAACAACGACAGCAATGAGGTGGCGTCATGTCGACTCTGCTGTCTCCGCTGTATTCCGAATCGGTTGCTGGATGACTAGATAGCAGGTCTGAACCTTTCTCCTCCACACCACGCTTCATCCCATATCTGGGCACCTTGGTATTACCTCTTGTGAACCTCATGCCTATGCTCCCATCGCTCCATCAGCCTCAGTCGATGCGAAGCTGAGTAGTGGATATGCGAGCCGAGATTAGCGTTGTGCCCATCCTGAAGCGAAGAGGTGATGTCAGGTACAGATCGCGCAATAGGGAACCCTAGGATGGCGGCGGTATATTTCAAGCGACAGTCAGCAGCATCCATAACCTCTCCAGCTCGGAGGGCATGAATCGGAATCGGGCCCTAGGTCGCTCAACTTGTGATTACAATCTGTCCCAGGCTAGCTAATATTGACATGGCAGTGTCGACCAACGGATCGGTACGGGAAACAGAGCCGACCAAGACTTGCGATGCGATGCATGATCTGAAAGTGGCTCTCTACATACCCGGACGTCTAGACGATGGTTCGAACATCTGAGGTTCCCCTTCACCGGAAAAAAAAAAGTAGACGGAGAGGCAGCCGGTCCTTACATGTACGATTCGTATCCATACATTGCATCGTGTCAAGAAGAAGAAACAGCCCGTAGGCGGGTCGGCAGACGGCGTCCTGTACTTTCCTTTCTAGGTAATTCTCGGGAAGAGCTTCCGGTCCTGCAAACCAAGACGGAAGCTATTTACCTGAGATACGGAGTCTTGATCGGATAGAGAGTGAGCATCTATCTGTCTGTTTGACGAGGTGAAGGGCCTAGAGTGCTCGTGTCGTCTGCATGCATCTACAACTACCCGCAGATGTATGAATCGGTTCATGCCGTAGCATCGGGTCTCCGTCCGTTGGTCAGTAACCCCCGCTCGGGACACTTCTGCCGACTTGGTATGCTGCCAACGGTCAAGACCGAAGAGGATTGATCCGTCACAATAGACTGAAGCTGCGAGTCTCGTCCCACGACGAGCTTTCTATCCGCATGTCACCATAATAGTCGGCCATGACTGGTCATCTCCCTTCCACTCCACTCCCAAGCCTACACCATGAAACCATTGGCTCTACCGGTATTCCACAACGTACGACAACGGTGTCTATCGAGGTAAATTAATTGGCGCGGCGTTACTACCGTCAAAGTATTGCTCCGTAGACAAGGCACGTGTGATGGGAGATGTCGCCAAACATGCTTCGAGGCACGCCATCTCAGGTTCGAACCAAGAATTAATAAGAGTAAAGGCTTGATAAGCAACGACGAAGCAGATGAAGCCGCCGGGAACGTCCAGCAGCGATGAAACAATAAGAAGACGCGAAAGCCATGCTGCCACCAGCTGACACTCTGCCGATCTCACCTGGGGTGATCCGACCAGAGAAGAGAAACACGCCAGTTCCCGTGAACACAGCGTCCAAGGGCTACTAGCCGAACCGAACAAGAGACATGACGACACCGAAACGCGTGGGGGAAGGCATCAGAGTGGCCATCATCGGCGGAGGTCCAGCCGGGCTCAGTGCCGCGATCGAGCTCGGCCGGCTCGACTTTGTAGACTGGCGCTTGTACGAGCAGAAGCCGACGATTAGTGAGATCGGGACGGGCCTCAGCCTGCAGCAGAATACCTGGCATCTTCTCGAGAAGCTCGGGGCCTCCAAGCACCTAAAAGCCGACGACTTCTTCAGGCCTGGGGACGGGAATGGCCATCAGTGCAGGTGAGTTCGAGTCCGTGCTGCGTGAGCTTCGTACAGCTAGACCACACGTTTCCTACATATCCTGAACAAAAATAAGACAAAGACAAGAGAAGAAGAAGAAGAAGAAGAAGAAGAGGAAATAGTACACGATATTGATGTGACGGGCACACCTGATGACGATTGAATCGAACACAGGGACGGAATAAGCGGCGTCATCGTCAAGCAATTGCGCCTGCCGTCCAAAGTCCCCCCTCACCGAGCTCCCTGCAGAGTTCACAGAGGGAGACTGCAGAGGGCGCTCCTCAAGGAAGCAGACGCCAGCCGCATACGGACGGGCAAGAAGTTGAAGACGATAGACCACACTGCCGAGGGCAAGGTCCAGCTGACCTTTCAGGACGGCTTTAGCGACACTGTTGACCTCCTCATCGGTGCTGATGGGATCCGATCGGTACCTCTCACTCCCCTCTCCTCCTCCTCCTCCTCCTCCTCCTCCTCCTCCTCTTCTTCTTCTTCTCCTTCTTCCATCTTCTTCCAAAACTTCAATGAGTGCTCATTCGTTGACTCGCGATGTGACATGACAGGTTGTCCAGCAGTTCGCATTTCCCGGCTACAGCGCCAAGTACACCGGCTCGACGGGTTACAGGACGACGGTACGGGTGTCGGAGGCCGAGAGGATCAACGGCATGACCAAGTCCACCGTGTTCTGGTTCGGCGACAACGGCGGCTGGCTGTACACGACGCCGCTGGACGGGACGGACTGGGAGGTCACGGCGCGCGTGCGGGAGCCCGACGACGGCGACCGGTCCAGCTGGGGCCGCGAGGTCCCCGTGGACGACATGAAGGTCAAGTTTACCAGCTACTGCGAGCCCGTCAGGCAGCTCCTCGACCTGGTCACCCGCGTCAAGAGGTACGACCACTTTGGCGGCCGGCGGCTGCCCTCGGTCGTGCAGCAAGGATCCGTCGCCCTCATCGGGGACGCGTCCCATCCGCTGTCCGGGGCGTTTGGCGCCGGTGCCGCCTTTGCCCTCGAGGACTCTCATGTGCTCGCCGGGGCGCTGAAGTGGGCTGCCTCCTCTTCCGACTCCCCGGCTGGCCATCGTAGTCTGGCGGATGCCCTCAGGCTGTACGACGATGTACGGTCGCCTCACTATGTGAACCTGTACAAGACGCTCGACAACATGGGAGAGACCGTCACAAAGGTCCTCCAGAGCGCCACGTCTCACGAGGAGCAGATTGTCGGGCGAGTCAATGCCTTTTCTGACGATGCAAATGACTGGATGTACTACTACGATGTGAGTCTGTCTGTCCCTGCTCGCTGGCTTTCCTCCCTCGGCCCCCCTTCCGGTTCTTTTTTATCTCTCTCTCTCTCTCTCTCCAAACGGGGCTTGTAATTGACTCTTTCTCAGGCCGGGAAGGAATTGGAAAACGCCATTGACAAGATCGCCCAGGAATCAAGCGGCTTGGCGAAGTTGTAGCTCACACGTATTACTTGAAATCTGTACTCGTACTCCGTACATAGGATGGGCAGCAAACGCTGTCTGTTGGAATATGCTTCAGTCGGATCTGAGTCGCATGGGAAAGAATACAAGTAAATAAAGTATATATATAATACACTCTAGATGATGTCTGCATCAATACCTCGAGAAGATGATTGCCATAGGATATGACTTATTCCCTTCCCCAACTCATCTCCCTCTCACCCCATCCAGCCTCGGGAAGCCCTAGAGGAAGAGAAACACGGACCCGCACGAAGAATCTCGCGTGCGTCGTACAGCTCAGCTAAACCGTCACGCTTTCCTCTAGCTCAATGACGTGATGGCCTCACTTTCCATTCGACCACCTTCCCGGTCCCGTTTGCCCGGCGCACATTCCGAGCGGTTTTTATTCGTCCGGTAGTTCTAAATCATTGAAAATCGTCTGCCAATCCCATGATACTACTGAACTACTCTGCTCTATTAAAGAAACCGACCCCGAAACCAGTACTCACTCCGGATCGGCCATTCAAGAGCTTCCTCCCCACAAGTCTCACAGAGCCACGGAAGTTTCAGGCTTTCTTTCCTTCTTTCTTCTTTCTTGGTCTGCTCAACACGAGACTCACTCTCCCATGTCTCAATCCGAATTCAAAGTCATCATCGTCGGCGGCGGACCAGTCGGGCTCGTTGCCGCCCATGCACTCCACCACGCCGGCATCGACTTCACCGTCCTCGAGCAGCATGAGGGCGTCTTCGAAGACGTCGGAGCCAGCGTCGTCATCTTCCCGCACAACCTGCGTGTCCTCTACCAGCTTGGACTGAAGGAGCGCCTCGATCAGATCAGCGTGCCCATGGTCCGCCAATTCGTGGGGTACGACCACACCAGGAACCAGTATAAGCCATCGAATAACCTGACCCTCTTTGAGAAGAAGTATGATTGATCCCTACCACCAGCTGTTCCGCCCCCGTCCAACACACACACACATGCACACACATGCACATGCATACACATATATACACACACACGCAACTCATCCTCATCCGTCCCCTTTTGCGTACGCTAAATCAAGACGTGCAACAGCCACGGCGCACCCATCATGCTGCTACACAGAGCCGACCTGGTCCAAGCCCTGTACGACGGCCTACCCGAGGCTGCCAAGTCCCGCTACCAGACGGGCAGGAAGCTGTCGGATATCGAGGTGACCGACGCGGGCGTCAGGGTCACCTGCGCCGACGGAAGCGCGCACTCTGGATCCCTGGTCATCGGCGCCGACGGCACCTACTCCAACGTCCGATCCATCATCAGGCGCAACGCCCTCGAGTCGGACCCCAAGCTCGAAGCCAGCTGGGATGCCGAGCATCCGTGGCTGGCAACGTACAGGTGCCTGTGGGCCTCGTTCCGTCGACCCCCCGGCCCCGACCCGGGGGCCAACTACGAGACGCACGCGAAGGACCGCAGCGCCGTGTACCTGACGGGCAAGGACAGGGCCTGGATCTTCCTGTACGAGAAGCTCGACAAGCCCACCAGGGAGCGGGTCACGTACGACGAGCACGACGCCGCCGCCTTCGCTCGGAGCTTCGCCGACTGGCCGCTCGCCGAGGGGCTCAAGGTCGACGACGTGCTGGCCGACACCTCCTTCGTGTCCGGCATGGGAAACCTGGACGAGGGAGTGGCGAGCAGCCTGGGCGAACTCAATCCTGGCGTCGCCGACCGCATCGGCCGCCTGGTCCTCGTCGGAGACTCGTGGCACAAGTTCACCCCCAACGCCGGCCTGGGCTTGAACAATGGGATCCAGGACGTCGTCACGCTGTCCAATAAGCTGCGGTCGCTGCTGTTTGAGGAGAACCCCAGGGCCCTGCCGGACACGGAGACGCTCTATGCCGTCGCCCATGGCTACTACAGCGACAGGAGTGAGCTCTTGCAGGCCGACTATAAGCGGGCTGCGCAGGCGACGCGGCTCGCCGCGCGGGAGACGACCCTGCATCATATACTCGAGAGTTACGTCTTCTCCATCGACTGGCTGCTGGGGTTACTCGTCAACAAGACTGTTGCGCCTTTGGTCAAGGCCGGCCGCGTCTTGTCCTACATTGACGCTGCAGAGTACTTTTCAGGCTTGATTCCTTGGGATCACCGTCTTTCGTAGAAGGACATATAATGTTGGGGAAGGGTTAATATTCGTTCAAATACTAGCGTCACACGGGGGTTACGGCTATGGCAGCAGTCAGCAAGTGAAGTAAGGCGGTTATGAGGAAAAGTCTCAGGAATATATTTTCATTCGCAAGAAGCGATAGCATGAGAAAAGTCCGAATTCACCGTCATGCAGTGAGTGCCATGGTAACTATCTATTCGAGTATTTTAGGTATCGTAAATCTGTAGCGAAAGTGAGCAGAGCAAAGGAAGGGCAAGAGAATCTCAACATATGCCAACTATGCTTCGTGTCAAAAAAAAAAAAAAAGAACAATGTATGAAAATGAGAATGAACGAGAAAGAAGACAGCGAGGGAGAAGACAGGCGGTGAAAAGAAGGAGAAAAGATTTCGTGAAGGGGCAAAAGAGAGGGAAGGAAGTGGATAGAATCAAGAATCACCATCCCAACATCTCAAGCGTGGCCTTGGCATCATTCGGCGTCATACTACCCACACCAAGCTGCCTGACCTGAGTACCCTTCCGAAGACGCTGCAAGCCAACGCCAACCTTCCAGGCTTCCTCCTCCTCCAGGACGAAGAGGTACCTCTTCGACCCCTGATCCCTGAGAGTGGCCCGCACGACGTGCAGACCGTGTGCCTTCCAGTCTCCCGTCTGGCCGGACATTGCAGAGCGAGTGTTAGTCGATGACTTGGAAGAACGAAACCTGGACCCGCATTGACCGAGACGGCAGCAGCCGTTGCACGTGCGCACCAGGTCGGTGAGGTAGACGTCTGCCTCCTCGCCCTTGAGGCACGACGCGTCCTCGACGGATGTGCGAGCGTTGCGGGACTGGGCCATCTTGTGGAGCAGATTGGGGGTGGGATGGGAGGACGACTGCGCAGAGGAGCTGGCCCGGGACGACCAATTCTCGCAGTGCGGGGGGCACCATACCTCAACTTGCTTGAGGGTCCAGGCCTTGACGTCCCACTCGCGCTGGGGGACGCCGCGGACATCATCGTCGATGAAGAGGCCCTCTGTCGTGATGCGGAGGATGAGCCCATCCGTCACGCTGCCGACTCCCGAGATGAGCTGGCTGGCCGGCGTCTTGGCGAACTGGTTCATGAAGAGGTACACGCCCGCAATGACAATCTTGTCCGGGTTCTTGGTCGTGTAGGGGCCCCGCATCGAGGGGGGCGGCGAGGTCCGGTGCGTCGTCTGGGAGGGTGCCCATGATGACTCAGAACCGGTGTACGATGAGAACGACTTCTTGCGTGTCGACCTGGGAGGCTTGTCGTAGGGCCGGAACGAGTGCGTCTCCTCGCTCACGTAGGATTTGGCCGTTGGTGGCGGCGGACCTCTCCTCTCCGGGCTGGGGGGAGGCGCGTTTCTGGTCGATGTCGTCGACGGTGCCGGTGAGTGCTTCGGAATGGAGGGAGGTTTACCGTTGGGCCACATGCTCATCTTTTCGCCCACGCCTGAGAAGGCATAGCCGGTATTTTCTCTGGGTTTCTCTGCTGCTGCTGCTGCTGCTGCTGCTGCTGCTGCCGCCGCCGCCGCCGCCGCCTCCTCCTCCTTCTGCTTCTCTTCTCGCTCTCGTTGTTCGCGCTCACGCTGCGCACGTTCTCTCTGCTCGCGATCCTTCCTCTCCTTATCCTGCCTTGCCCTCTCCATCTTTTCCCGTTCGAGCTTGGCAATGGCCTCGATGAGCTCTCTCTTGCGCTGCTGTTCTCTATCGGCTGCCTCTTTCTTGAGACGCTGTTCCCGTTCGGCCGCCTCCCTCTTGAGTCGTTGTTCCCGTTCGGCCGCCTCCTTCTGGAGTCGTTGTTCCCGTTCGGCCGCCTCCTTCTGGAGTCGTTGTTCCTCCTCGGCTGCCTCCTTCTTGCGCCGTTGCTCTGCCTCGATTGCCTCCTTTTCGCGCCTCTTCTTCTCCGCTTCAGCTTCTCGCTGCTGGCGTTCCTTGGCCTCCTTGGCACGTAGCTCAGCCAGCCTCTTAGCTGTCTCCTCACGGCGCTTCTGCTCAGCCTCTTTGGCCTTGCGCTCCTCTTCCTTTCTACGTGTCTCCTCTCTAGCCTTTTCCCATGAGTCCTTGTATTGGTCGCGAGCCTTCTCCCAGGTAGACTTCGGTGTGTCCGCTTGAGGCTGGGCCTTGGGAGGCTCCTTCTTTGGAGTGTCGGGTCTGGGAGGTTCATTCTTTTGAGTGTCGGGCATGACAGGCTCGGTCTTTGACGTGTCNGGCTGGGCCTTGGGAGGCTCCTTCTTTGGAGTGTCGGGTCTGGGAGGTTCATTCTTTTGAGTGTCGGGCATGACAGGCTCGGTCTTTGACGTGTCGGGCATGGGAGGCTCAGCTTTCGGAGGGTCGGGCTTGAGAGGCTCCTTCCTTCGCGCGTCGGGCTTGGTAGGCTCCTTCCTTCGCGCGTCTGGCTTGGTAGGCTCCTTCCTTCGCGCATCGGGCTTGGTAGGCTCAGCCTTTGATGTGTCGGGCATGGGAGGCTCAGCTCTCGGAGGGTCGGGCTTCGGCTTCGGTTGTTCTTGTCTGCGTGTTTGGGGTGGAGGTGGTGCCTCCTGCTTTGGGGCCTGGTAGGGAGGAGAACGGGCCCCTGACCGTGGCGGCGGTGGTGTGTTCGAACGAGAATAGTATCCCCCGCTGTGCTGCCTGCCATAAGGCGGTGCACCAGGGTCGCCACCCCCAAAGGGTCGCTGCCCTCCACCGGGGGGAGTGCCATGCGGAGGCGGCGGAGGGGGCACATCATCGTTTGGGGGGGCATGCGGGGGCGGTGCCCTGCCGAATCCAGCGGAGCCTCCAAAGGATGCGTCGGGTTTGGGCTTGCCGAAGCCAGAGCCAAACGGCGGGGCACCCTCCTGCTGTGTGCGGCCGATGGCCCATGAACCGAAGCCGACGCCCAGCACCAGCATGACTACACCGACGTCGCCAATGCCTTGGAAGCTCTCCCACCAGACGCGGAAGGCGGGGCCCATGGTCTGGCCCAGCACGACGAAGACAAGGGCCGAGGCAAAGCCGGCAACGAAACTGTTCACGTTGGGCTGTAGAGAAGGGAGATACAGAAAGCCGGAGCCGGCCGAGTGTTCAGGGATGACAAAGATGTCATATCTGCCGGGGGGCAGGCCGCCCGACCTAGGAACTCCACCCGGACCGCCATGAGGCGGAGGGGGAGGGGGCACATCGTCCATGGCAGGGTGTGTTCAGTCGGAGGAATGTGTCGAATGGTACGGTAGGTGGGGGAGGAAACTCGACGCGGCGGTTATTGCAAGACCCGGCTTATTGACGTGCGGGGGGAGGAGTCATTAGAGGTCATGGAGTCGTCGAGAAGCTGGAGACAGTTGGAGTCAGTCGACTGGACAGATCAACATCGTAACGTTACCGAGATATGCTCGGTACTCACAATTGGGCATAGAGCAGGAGGAACAGGGCTGGACACCAAAACAAACACACAATGCTCGCTATGATGCAGAGGGCAAGGAAGAAGAAGACGAACAAGAAGACACGATAGTTGAGAGATGGGATAAAAGGGGAGTTTCCCCCACGAAGGAGGCTGAGCAATAGCTTGTCCAAAGCTCAGAGAGCGAAATTGTCTTGTTCTTCGTCGTCGTCGTCGTCGTCGTCATACAACAACGACAAATGTCAACAAAGAGGAATTTTGTTAGAAAAGTGTGTGAGACAGGAAGCACTCCGGGAGCAGCCGGAGAGGTTGCTATGGATGAGGGGAAGGGACAGGTATGTAAGAGTAATGGGCCACACAAAAAAAGCAACAAAAAAAAATTTGAACAATTGAAAAATTAATTGAAGGGAAGAGAAAAGGAAAATATTTTGAAAGTATGACTCCATAATAAAAGAAAAAAAGAAAGAGGCACCGTCATCCCCCCAGGGACCCTTGATTGTTTACTTCCCAGGATTGGATGAGAGGGACGAGGAAAGGGGAGCTACGAGAAGTGGGGCAGACAGTATGTGTGCCAAGTGGGTGGTACTTTCCTTGCCGACTTTTGTCCCCCCACACGCACGGGCGGAGCCCATTTTACTTGATACAAGCCCTCTCTAGGTAGCAGGAATTTTTTTCTTAACTAATGTATGATGCCTGTAGGCTATAGGCCATAGGCTATAGGCTATAGGCTCTGTAGGACCTAGGTAACACCTACGACGAGGGGTCATTACGTAGGCTGGGGGCGTTGCTGTTGGGGACTGCGCCGGCTGGTATGACTTACTCCGTACAGCCTACGGAGTACAGATTACAGCTACCAGCACCGCTGTACTCGTATGGAACCCGCGGAGGATGGAGCTCCCTGCCCCGTAGCGCTCCGTGCTGTCACTGGCTGCCACGAAGCCCGGCCATTAGCCACCGCCTCCTGCAAGCTAGCCGCCCTTCCGCATATCCATCACACCACACACTATTTCTGCTGCTGCTACTGTCGTTCATTGCAATGTTATTGTAGAGTGGTATTCCTTCACAGTCGGGGTGTGATGATACCACCGTGATACTGTTATCAGCAGTTCCCCTCCCCCCCTCCCCCTCCCCCTCCTCCCATTACGCGCAAACATGCAGTTCGATTCACCTTGAATGCGGTGGTTCAGATGAAGGTTGCCATGTGCATACGGTAAGGTAACTTCTGCCGACGTGGGAGGAAGTCTCCATCCTCCGTATACCGCCAAGAGGGTAAACAGACAGCACCGCCTCCAGGCAACTGGGTCTCTCCTACTCCATACGGATACCCGAGCATCAATACTAGCAGCATGCACTAGTGGTAGTACTCCGCAATGATGCCGCTTGGCACCATCACCGCCAGTTCATATTCAACAAAATGTACAGACTACTCGGGCAGGTGCTAATCGTATATATGCATTCTTGTACTGTAGAGAGTTATGACGTGAAGAGACGGTATAAAACATGAAACCCGTCATATCTGGCATAAAGATGGGGGGGGAAAAAAAGAAAAAAAAAAGAAGAAAAAAAAAAAGGCCCTCGATAATTTCCCAATGATATCCGATACGAAAACAGAAATGCCGGACTGAGCTCAAAAATGCACAGAACAGAACAAGAAGGACAGGCTAAGCAGATGAGACAGTAAGAGAGAGGAGAGTATTCCATGTCTATCAGAAGGGCGTGAAAGCAGTAATCATAATCTGTGCCACCCAGACTGCCCCGGTGACAGCACTGCTCAGTAGACCAAAGGTATTAAGCCCGGCCTCGACGGACAAGAGCAGGGCTCTGATGGCCGTGCTTAACACCCAGCCGGCGAGTCAGAACTTCTTGAGCCTCGCGTTGCCCACCCTGACCTTACCCTGGACGCGATCGGTGTCGTCGCCGAGCATGTCCAGCATCTCCTTCTGGCGCTCGGCCTCCTCGCCGATCTGGATGCCCAGCTCCCTCTGCCGTCGAATCACGGCGGCAAGCTGGCTGACGTCCATGTCCTGCTGTTCGAGCTCTTGCCTCTGCAGTTGCAGCACACCCTGATTATCCAGTTCCCTGGTCTTGTTCGTCTCCGGCAGCGGAGCGCCCAGCACCCTGCCGCCGCTGCCGGCTCTCGACGAAGATGCGCCCGCTCCTCGTAGAAGCTCGGCCTCGTCCGCCGCAGCGGCGGAGCTGCTGGATGGCGTGCTGCTGGCCAGCTTCTCCAGCCCGTCACGCTCCATCCTCGCCGCGGCGACGAGGTCTCTCCGCCTGCGCAGCTCCCCCTCGCCCACCCTCTTGGTCTTCTGCATCTTGGCCAGCCCGTCCGTGAGTGTGATGATCAGCGTGCCGCTCTTGACCAGGGCCCTCTTGGCCGAGGCACCGGCCTCGATGGCCGCCGAGCTGTCCGCGCTGTCCAGGGCGCCGTCCCGTCGCGACAGGCTCTGCCTCGCATCCTGGAGGCAGCCCTTCAGCTCTCTCTGCACGTCGAGCCAGGTATGCGGGTCAGCTGCCCCCGCCGCGGCGTTGCCTACGGTCCCGCCCGCCGACACGGCGGAGCTGCCCGAGCTGTTGGGCAGGTTAAGAAATCCCCGCCACCCGGCTGTGTCACGCCACCGGCGGTCTGGCGACTCGGCAATCACGCGCAGGTACCGCTCCAGTCCGACCCTTCGCTGCTCTGCCAGCTGCGGAGACGTCACGGTCGACTTGAGCCAGTGCTTTCCAGGCAGGGGCTCCGGAGGAGGCGCGCCCACCTGTTCCGTCAACGTTGCGTGGAGTCGTGAGAAGTCCGAGTATCGCTTCTGTACCACATATGACCGGAGAGGCAGGCGGAGTGTGATGTTGTACAGTGTGAATGGCTTGGATGAGCCGATTCTGCCTACACTCGTCGAAGGAATGCCAATCTCGGGTGGCGGTGCCATGATTTCGTCGCCGGTCTTTCTTCGCTCTTTCTTCTCTTGTATCTCTTTGAACGCTCGCGGAGAGTTCCCGTCGGGATGTCGATCTGTTGATTCACCGACGCACTCACTTCCTATAAGAGGTTGAAGGGTATGGGGGGTTTATCTGAGGATGAGCGGCAGTCGGCGTGCGAGCGAGTGTTGGTGTGTTCAGGGAGAGAATTGTCTTTTTGCTTGTAGACGCTGTTGGCGTGCATTATAATCATCGGATCAGGCGATGATGCAAGCGTCAGGCGCTACCGCCAAAACAGTAGACCCTGCTATTCATATCGCCGTATGGCTGAGCGCGTGCACGACCCGTTAAAGGCATTATTCTCCTAAACGTATACCGCAGAATCCCAGGGCCCAGGCCCAGAGAGACAACGCCGTAAGCCCCGGGACCCTGGCAGACCTCTGTACGCGCTAATCCCTTTGGGTCAGCGGTCGTCTCCCATGCTCACTGGTGCCGTTGTTGAGCTGCCACGTACGAAGTACGGATACTGCTAGTAATCACGTCCACGCGATTGACTCGTTGTCTTGGTGATCCATCCTCTGTCGTCCTATGGGACTGTCAGGTCACGGAAAACAAAGGTATCAACCCGGCTTGCCAACACACCAATGTCCCACTGGTATATCCCCAGACTCTCTCGACGTTGGCGACATAACCGTGGACACATACTTCCAGGCCCACTGCCTGTAGTAAGCACACGTCAAATGAGCACAGCGCCTGCATACTCTGCAAGAGCAAGCAGCAGCTGAAGTCGAGGAGGGAAGCACTAAAAGGAGTACGGAGTACAGATCTGTACACATCATAATACATACAGGAGTCAACGTAGTATTGGTCCCAATTTTATCCGCTGATGCTCCGTATCAGTGGTGTTTGGTACGCCATCATCGCCGATGTATTATTGACTTGCAAGTAGGGAGGAAACGCTGAATGCCGGTTGCCTTGGGGTCATATTTCTACCACGGGTGGGTAGATCATGTAGCTGCGGACGTGAAATTCTACGAGAAAGGCGTACGAGTACCTGTATAGCTGTGAAAGCGGAGCACCTGTAGCCACGGGATGAAAATGACCTGGCTACTAAGTAGTATTATTGTTAGTACTACTTGGTCTTTGGCTGTATGAGCATCATCTTCCCTGATCTTCATTCAACAATTATGTATATCAGGGCTCAGGCATATGCTCGCCATGCGTAGCAAGGAGCCGTGCACATCTATGCAACCAGGCCTGGCTGACTTTCCGACTTTCCCAACACCCTCGCTCTTCTTCCCCGCCCGGCTTCTTTTTGTCCTGTTCTCTTCTGCGTTTTACATCACTCCCTCTCTCTCCCTCTTTCGGGGTTTGCTCCCTGCAGTGAACAGCATCGACTCTTTCTATTTTCTCGTTTCTGCCTTCTCTCCTTTAAAACGTCTCCTGGTCATCGACGACCTCGCCCTCGGCAGGGATCTCGAAACCCTCCTCGGTCGAGTAGAGGATGGCCTGGATCTGCCTGATGAGTCCGTCCTCCTGCTTCTCGATCTCCGGGTCCTCGTCAACGGCCTGCTGGATGAGGAGCTCGATGTCCCGCAGCTTGCTAAAGTAGAAGTCGCGTTCCCTCTCTAGACCGACAACTGTCTCCTTGAGCGTAGCCACTTCCTGCTGCAGAGCAGCCGTACCGGGGCCGGCGGCTTTGGCCACACGAGGACCGCCGCTGGGAGTCACGCCACCTCTCCGGGCACCGGAGCCGGTCGACGCCACGCGGGGAGCACCGCCTCCTGCCGGGAGAGCTCCGCCTTTTCGCCGCGCGACGGCATCGTAGTCGTGGTCGGGGAAGTTGAGGTCCCAGAACTTCTTGGTCCACTGCAGGAACTCGAGGTTGTCCTGCATCTTGCACTTGACGAGCGATTCCACGGGGATCGGCTTGTCGATCTGGTGCTTGGCGAAGATGTCTACGGAAGTGATCCGACCTGTCAGCCACACCCAGCTACCAGAAGCCAGAAAGAGATCCTGAACCGGGGGGGGGGGGGGGGGGCGGGAGAGGGGAACTACACGTACTCTGAAGAACTTTGAAGTTCTGAATGTAGGCATATTCTGAGTTGACGTTGAACTTGACCCTCGACATGGGAACATCCATGTAGATGCTGTCAAAAACTTGGCAGAGGGCAGCGCTATTATTTGTGAGACGCGGTCAGATTCTTCTTTCTCGTCGGTCGGGTACACGTCCCCCCATTTTTTTAATTTTTTTTTTTTTGTTCGGACACCGTGGGCGGGGGAGGGGTAGAGGAGAAAGGGGTTCCGAGGAGGCTCACCCAGTACCGCATTGCTCAACCTTGGTAATGTTGAGCTGCAGAAGACTGTTTAGCCATTGCACGAGTTCCTGTCTATTGTTAACCGGAGGGTTAGCATCACGTCGTCGCGTCGTTGCGGAGGGGCGAACGTGGCAGGAAAAGGGGAGAGGACCTACCGTGACTCGCCCATCCTGAATGAGGGGTGTGTGTTGTGTTGAGATGAGAGGGACGAAAAAGGGGGGGGGGGGGGGGGGGGGGAGAGAGAAAAAGGAAAAGGGAAGGGTCCGGAGTTTTGGGAGAGAGAAGGAGGGGGGGGGAGAGGGGTTCAGATGAACGAGATGGATCTAGGATAGATGATGTTGTGAGGGAGCGGCGCTTGGCCGGGTTTTCAGTAGAAATCTGTAACAAAACGATGCAGGATGGAGGTGGGATATCGTAAAGGGTAATAAACAAGTTTGGACCAGATAGATGCAGAGAGAAATCGAAAGGCCCAAGTTCGTGCCTCCGAGGCTCCCCCATTCGAGCTCGCCGGCCGGCCAGTTGTGTTTGCGCCATTGCCCGATCAACCGCAGTGGGTTCCCATCTCGGGAAAACAACGGATCCCCCACTACAAGAGTTATAGGAATCACGTGCTTCTCTAGCCCACGCGCTTGGCTTACTACCTACCCGTACTATTACAGATTATACGGAGTACGTCTATACGTAATATTACCTGTCTATATTATCATTACTTTCTTACGGTGGTCCAAGCTCTCTCAAGAACTCGCATGTCAGTACTCCGTAGCCAGCTGTCACAAGGCAAGCACCGCGTCCTGAAGAGTGGGAAAGAGCGGGATGCACAAGACAACCAGCCATTTTACAGGTAATATTACAGCACGAGCAGAGAGCCCCGTCAAGAACTGCGATCAGTTATACCCTAACGGATAGCGGATCAGCCATAAAGAGATATATACCTGACCACTCAGAAGGGTTCTTCCGCACTGCTGCTGTTAGGTTTGCGTCACCGGTGCGCAGCGACAGTCTACCTGTATCAACCGCATCCTTGGCATCGCGGCCCTGCCCTGCTGTCTCTCAATTTACGTTCTCCTCTCCTTCCCAGAACCCCCCTTCTCCCTCGGAAAAGCCCTCAGAGCTTTATGAGGAAGGAGACATGGCCTTGTGTGGGGAAGAAAGGAAGACAAGAGAATCAGTGTATGATATTACATCGCGTCGGCGTCTCGGATGAGGAACGGAGGGTGTTTAGATCTTTTTCCATCACTCTTCCGTTACTTTTTCTAGCAGTTCACTCACTTTCCACTCTTATACCTGTCCTTTTCACGTATTATCTTGTGAGGCTATCACGTCCCCTTCCTTTCGCGCAGCATCGCCTAATACGGTGTATCAACACCCAGTTACCTATCTATGGCCGCCCCTCTCTGCTTCTGACGTTCGACTCTCACCGCCAAATTTTTCAAGTGGCAGAAAAAAAAAAGTATCCACGTTTGTACCTGTACTACCTCTGCTTCAATTTTCACCCTCACGCCCATACATACATAACCTTCCTCTTCTCTCCCCCATAGACAGAGCAGACACAATGGCGCCCAGTGAGAAGAGAAAAGCCGCAAAGGACGACTTCATCTACACTCTGTCCGACGAAGAAGATGCGCCCATAGAAGAAGAAGAAGGGCGGGCAGATGACCCAGAGCCGCCACGAAAGAAGTCCAAGAAGGCCAAGAAAACGACAAAGGCCAAGTCTAGCAAGAAGGATCATGAGGAGGACGATGACGAGGTCGGTGGTGGAGACTTCAATCCGGACTTCGAATTCATGCTGGAAGACCCCGGAGTCGTCGGAGACGATTTCGAGGGCTGGGGCTTCGACGGCGCAAAGAGTGCCATGAAGGCCAGCAAAGGTGTCGACCTCGACGCCATCATCCGTCGCCGAAGGGCCCAAAAGATCAAGAACGGTGCTCCGGAGGAGGGCCACGAAGATGAAGTCGACGGTGAGGCGAGCAGCCAAGAAGGAGAGCTTGCCGACGGCATGGATGTCGATCTCGACGACGGGGACGACGAGGTCCTCGCCGATGACGCGTTTGGCATGAATGTCGCCTCCGATGCCGAGGAAGATGAGGACGAGGAAGATGACGACAGTGGTGACGGTGCTGAAGGAGACGATATGGATGACGACGACCCGGCTTCTGACGATGACTCTGTGGCAACGCCCGTCGACCACCCCGAAGACGACCAGGACTCGGATGCTAGCGATGAGGAGGATGCGGAGGAGGAGGCCAAGAGGCAAGCCTTCTTTGCGCCAGAGGAGAAGGCCAAGCCCGGCAAGAAGGACTCGTCTTCCTTCGTGACCATGTCACTGTCACGGCCCATCATGCTAGGCCTCAACAAAGTCGGTTTCAGCAAGCCAACACCCATTCAAGACAAGACGATACCCATTGCTCTGATGGGCAAGGACATTGTGGGTGGTGCTGTCACCGGTTCTGGAAAGACGGGTGCTTTCATCATCCCCATTCTGGATCGTCTGGTCTACCGGCCCAACAAAGTGCCTACGACGCGAGTCGTGGTCCTTGCTCCCACACGTGAGCTGGCTATTCAGTGCCACGCCGTGGCCACCAAGATTGCCGCCTTCACCGACATCAAGTTCACGCTCGCCGTCGGTGGCCTAAGCCTCAAGGTGCAGGAGGCGGAGCTCCGTCTCAGGCCCGACGTGATCATCGCCACGCCAGGTCGCTTCATCGACCACATGCGCAACTCGCCCAGCTTCAACATCGACACGGTGGAGATTCTGGTTCTCGACGAGGCCGACAGGATGCTCGAGGATGGTTTCGCCGACGAGCTCAACGAGATCCTCACCACCATGCCCAAATCACGCCAGACCATGCTCTTCTCTGCCACCATGACTTCAAGCGTCGACCGCCTGGTTCGCCTGGGCATGAACAAGCCTGTTCGCATCATGGTCGACGCCCAGAAGAAGACCGTCGGAACCCTCGTTCAGGAGTTTGTCCGCTTGCGCCCCGGACGCGAAGACAAGCGTCTCGGATACCTCGCACATCTGTGCAAGACGCTCTACACAGAGCGCGTTATCGTATTCTTCCGTCAAAAAAGGGACGCCCACAAGGCCCGCATCATCCTCGGCCTCTTGGGAATCTCGGCTGGTGAACTTCACGGAAGCATGAACCAGACAATGGTAAGTGGTCTTTCGCCACACAGAGGCGTGCACATCCGTATATGTACACGGCGGAAAGCTGACCCATGACCACAGCGTATTGAAAACGTCGAGCTGTTCAGGGACGGCAAGGTGACGCACCTTATGGCCACCGATCTTGCTTCTCGTGGTCTGGACATCAAGGGCATCGACACCGTCATCAATTTCGAGGCCCCGCAGTCCCTCGACATCTACGTCCACCGTGTCGGTCGTACGGCGCGTGCTGGCCGCCGCGGAACGGCGATAACACTTGCGGCCGAGGCGGACCGCAAGGTGGTCAAGTCTGCCGTCAAGGCGGCCAAGGCTCAGGGCGCCAAGGTGGTCAGTCGGACCGTTGACGCCGCAGAGGTGGACAAGTGGCAGGCACAGATTGACGGCATGGATGGCGAGATTGAGGACATCATCAAGGAAGAGAAGCAAGAGCGCCAGCTTGCCCAGGCTGAGATGCAAGTACGGAAGGGCGAGAACCTGATTGAGCACGAGAAGGAGATCAAGTCCCGCCCCAAGAGGACCTGGTTCGAGACGCAGGACGACAAGAAAAAGGCCAAGCAGGCCGGAGACGACGAGCTCAATGGGAAACTGAGGGACAAGCTCAAGCACAAGACGATGGCCGGAAAGCTGAGCAACAAAGACAAGAAACGCCTCGACGCCATGGCCGACCGCAAGGAGGGTCGCGTCTGGATGGGCAGCAAGAAGTCGGCCGCCTCCGAGGCCGAAGCCAGGGCTAGGGATAGCGCCCCCAGAGAACGAGGAGGCGGCAGGGGAGGCGGCAGAGGAGGCGGCAGAGGCGGAGGCAGAGGTAGAGGCAGGAGGGGAGGTAAAAGGGGAGGCAAGTAAAGGAAGGGGGTATGGGTTCTGGTGTTCACGGCGTCTGCTTGTCGGGAGGCCTTTTCTCTGCACACGAGGCGCAACCAGTCTTCTCACATGCTTGAGATGATCGCCGCTTGTAGAAATACACTGTTTTTCTGGCAGTTTTCGTATAATAAAAACCTCGGTTTACTTGAATCCACGTTGACGCATATTCTACCTGACGGCCAGGTAATTGAGCAACATCATACATCATATTACAAAGCTACAAACAAGTCTCCATTCAGTCCATCTCATACTCAAACAATGTACTCGCAAGATACGAAAACAAACAAGCCCACTAAGAGTATTGACGTTCTCTACATGTAGTTCTGCTTGTCAAGCGGTTCATTCATCACCATTACTGATTAGTAATATAGGGTAATATCAAGACAGACCAGGTCGGCCAAGTGGCAGCACGACACACGAAATCGTTGAATTCTCTCTCTCCTCCTGACCATTCCCAGCTGTCAGTAATCATCTCCCTTCCCGACCAGCCGGGTCCGACGGTCCATCGTCGATAGAATCAACCGTGTTATCCCGATACACGAGGGCAGTCAGACCGTCATCCATTTTGCCACCCCGCTGCCATCCCATCCGAGCTGCAGAGGATTTTGTGGACTTTACCAGGGGACCAGAGGAGTTCCTCGGAGCTACGTAGTGATAGCAAAGCTCCCCTCCCCACCACGGACGACTGCATAATACGAAAAAAACAACACACACCGATATATCCGGGAGAGCATCTCGTTTCCAGGAAGAAAAAGGAGAGAGAGCGCGGAGAGGAAGATTTGAGGAAGATTTAGGAAACTAGAGACTCAGAATCACCAAGCTGGCTCCCTTTGGATTCTCTGGTCGAGGCCGGCTGCGTCCCTCACGATATCTCCGCGAGAGCCTACTCAACCTCCACCTCGACACCCTACCTCAGCTCAGACGCCGCTTTCAGTCGAGGATATACCGCTTCATAGTTGTGCGTCAGCGCCGTCGCGACCAGGGGAGACGCGCCGTCGACCTAGTTGCTCGGTACAGCCGACGGCTGCTGCTGGGACCGTCGTCGTCGCAGCGTCAACGCCGCGCCACCACCCCCAAAGATGCGCGAGCGCCCGTCACCGGCAACGATAGAACAACGGGATATTACGGGAACCTGCCGACGACGAGCGGACCGGGAAAGACGGGGTACGGAGCAGCAGCACACACAATGGACGAACCGACTAGCGGTGGCACGGCGCCAGGTGAGCGAGGATACCGCCGCATGAGGCTGGCTGCCATGGCGGGGAATCTGTACAGATCAGGCCAGCAGGCCGTGAGCGGTATGAAGGAGCAGTACGCGCAAACCATGGGACCTGTGGAAGGCGGCGGCGACGGACACGGAAGGACAAGTATTCCGGGCGCGTTTCCCGACGTCGAGATCCACGTCCAGGGCCACCAGCAGATGGTGCTCTTTCCGTCCTACGCGATAAGACACATCAAGAGGGACTGGGACAGGTTCGAGCAGATGCTGTCTTCACAACACGATGCCAACGGCAGCATGGGTGCAGCAGCAGGCGACGAGTCGGCCGCCAAGGATGGAGTATACTGGCGCCAGGAGTGGGAGAGGCACGAGGATGAGAAGGCCGTCGTCGACGTCGACGTCAGAGGGTGGATCTACTCACCGCAGCTGGGACCCGTGACCAGGAGGAACAGGATGCTCATCGGGCTCGCTCGCCAGCTGAGCGGTATCCCGCCGCCTAGGAATGACACGCCTGCCAGCAACAGCGAGGGTGGAGGCTCCGAACCGGCGCCGGACAGCCTCCGCGCCCACCACCAGATGCACGAGGCGCAGCGGGAGCAGGAGAGGATCGAGCGCGAGGCGGCGCAGATCGAGCGTCGCGGGCGGGAAGAGGAGCGCGTGGCGTTCCGCGGAGGATACAGCGAGAGGCCCCGGCCCGGCCCGGACGCCGCCTCCAGGGCGACGACGCGGAGCGAGCCCAACTCTGCCCCGGTGAGCCCGACACAGTCGGCATTGGCATACGGCGGACCGCAGCCCAACGAGATGAGCGAGGCGGAGCTAGCCATTGCGAATGCCAACCTGATGGCGCGCATCGCGCCGTTCATGACGACGCCTCTGGTGTCGATGCCCGTCACCGTCTTCTTCTACAACGAGACGCGGTCGCGGTCACGAACCATCATGACCAACGATGCAGGCCACTTCAACCTGCGCGCGGCGCTCGACTTTGTGCCCACGCACGTCAAAGTGCTCACCAACGAATCGCTGTCGGCCATCAACAAGGTGGCCATCACGGAGCCGAAGGGGATCAGCCTCATCAGCGACGTCGACGATACGATCAAGCGATCCAACATCTCGGGGGGTGCCAAGGAGATCTTCCGCAACACCTTCGTCCGCGACCTGAAGGACCTGATGGTCGACGGCGTTGCGGGCTGGTACAACGAGATGCACCGCATGGGCGTCAGCATCCACTACTGCTCCAACAGTCCCTGGCAGCTGTACCCCGTGCTGAGCACCTTCTTCAAGGCCGTCGGACTACCGCCCGGGTCACTCCACCTGAAGCAGTACTCCGGTATGCTCCAAGGCATCTTTGAGCCGGTCGCCGAGCGCAAGAAGTCTACGCTCGACCGCCTCCTGCGTGACTTCCCACAGAGGAAGTTCATCCTCGTTGGTGACAGCGGCGAGGCAGACCTGGAGGTGTATACTGAGCTTGCGCTTGCCAACCCGGGCCGCATCCTCGCCGTGTTCATCCGCGACGTCACTACAACCGAGCAAGCGGGTTTCTTCGACAACTCCTTTGGAGCGAGCAGTACGAGTGCCTTACCCCGCAGACAGTCCGGTCCGCCGCCCAACGACGGTCGCAACCGCTCAGGAACGCCCCGACAGCAAACGTCTCCGAGGCTAGGGGCCCGGCAGCAGGAGAAGCCGCGTCAGAACTCGGGTCCCGTCATGGGTGACCTGATTGATCTGTCAGAGCCCGCCACCGTGACCAGCCACAGTGATAGCAAACCTGCTGGGTCGGCAAATGGACGCAAGCTGCCGCCGCCGCGACCAGCCAAACCAGCTGCCCTGCGAAGCGCGCCGTCTCTCGTCGGTCTTGGACAGCAGCAGCAGCAGCAGCAGCAACGGCAACGGCAACGAGGCCCCGCATCGGTCCCTCCCCTACCAGCGAGGAAGCCGCTGCCACCCTCCAAGACGACATCATCTACGGGAGCAGAGGCAGGGGCAGATTCCCCACCCCCTCCCCCGCCACCCCGACGACGCAGCTTCTGGAACAGCAATGCGGACGTCGATGAGCAGCCTCTCCCTCCGCCGGCTGTAGGCACAGCGTCAGCGGCCTACAGCCGGTCCCGTCCCGAACCCAGGACGAACAAGTGGTCCCCCGCCGCGTCGCCGGATTCTTCACCCACGCTAGGCCCGCAAGTCCCTAGGAAGGTTGAGCTGTGGACTAGGCGGCTGTCAAGGGCACATGAGCAGCTAGACCATCTTGGCGTGCTGCTGTATACGTGGCGCACGGGCGGGGATGTGGTCGAAGAGGCGGTGGGGATAGTTGAACAGGCTAAGAGGAAGATGGGTATGTAGGGCGCGAAGGAGGGACTGTATATTTACGTGGATATATGCTCGCCTGGGCACTCTTACGATATCTGTTCTTTTTCTTTTTTTTAGCACTTTGGATGTATCGAGCAACACATTCCCATTTTCTTCCTTTAGAACTATAAGGAGACACGACACATTCTTCGTTTCTTCGCTGCACAAGTACAGACATTGTTGAGAAACACACGAGGATGAAGAAGATCAATATACAAGGAGAGGAATAATGAGAACTTGACTCGGAGCATTATACGTACAGCCCAAAAAGTCGTCCATCACTCCACCTCGAGAGCCATGGCTATACCAGCGTCTCGATGCCGGGGTGCATGGCAGTGCAGCAGCCACAGACCGGGATCGTCCACCCGTAAACGCAGCACCGCATACCCTATCGTTTGGACGTACACGGTATCCTTCTTGACGAGGTTGATGAGGTTATAAGCCCCTCTAACGGGTTCCCTGGTCTTGTCGTACGGGCTGTACGCGTCCCAGCGGAGCATGTCAGGTTGAGGCAGGGAGACGGCAAGAAGGTCGTACCCGTGCCGAGTCAATCCGTCCGACCTCTTATTCCTCTCTTCATCGGGCCAGGATCAGTTCACCAGGTGGAATGGATGACCTCGCCTCATCAAGGTTTGTGCTTATGACAATGTCCACACAGGGAGAGGAGGCCTCATGGTAGTCCACCAGGGGAACAAAGTGTTGTTCATCTCTATCCCACCAGTCACTCTCGACGCCTATTAGTGGAGGGTCCTGCGTAATCCAGAGTGTATTGTCCACGTAGCCCCTCGGCTTGTTCTCTAGGTGGGCTAGCAGCTGTACTTCTGTATAGACCAGGAATGATCTGATATGGGGCATCCCCGCTGATGGCACCGGGTGCGAGGAAAGGACTCTCGACGGTGGACGTGTCGTATGATGTTGCGAAGGGAGTGAATGCGGCGTTGAAATTCGGACCGGATCGGGAAAGTTTGCTCCGCAGTCAAAGCCAGACTCTTCTTCCTGCAGTACCTGTAGGCCATTCAGCATAGGTACGGGTGAGGAAGAGAGGTGAGAGAGAAGAGATGCAGGATGAGAGGATGTAGGGGGCTTACTCTCCATCAAGAGAGAGTCTGGCGAGGGCTCCATGCCCCAGTGCGTCCAGGTATCGTAGCTGTCCCGGATCTCGGTGGCGGGATTGTGGTACCAGTCGCCTTTGAGGACAGTGTCGTCGCGGTACTCTCTGCTTCTTTGCGTCGCTTTTGGTTCTACTCACCTACAGGTCCGTGGACTGTGAGTGCGCCGTAGAGGCCGTCGGCCCTCATTACTTCGGAGTGGGCGTGCCACCTGTACAAGCTCGCGTGTGTAGGTCTTATATTAGTACATATAAGACGGTGATGTGCGACGGGAGTTTAGGTGTCCAAAGTGACGTCAGGACTATAATTCTGCCACTCAATTATTACCCCTTCCAGCTCAAACTACTTCACCGCCCTCACGGCAATTCAACGTGTCTCTCTTCCACTTCCATCTATCCAACTCTTCCCCCCCTTCCGTTCAAACCCTACGAATCATAAGAAGACAGAATAACCAGGAAGAAATCTCAATCCGCTCCAGATGGTAACCACGCGCCGCTCAGCCGCATCGACACCTGCGCCCTCGGCAGCGACAGAAGCAGACAACATCGACAGCATGGCGGCAGACCCAACACGTCCCCACCCCACCACGTCATTGACACCACCGTACCTCCCCACGAAAGCCGAGCGAATCGTCCTGGTCGCCTTCCCCGTCATCCTGCTATTCGGAAGCCTCTTCTCGGTGCTATCTCCCACGACGCGCGACGCGCCCTACGACCACGTGGCTCAGGCGCACGTACAGGACCCAGCGGTGGCGCCAAGCTACTTTGCTCGCAAGTCCAACGTGTTCAACGTTGTCTTCGTCAAGCAAGGGTGGGCATGGACGACGGCGGCCGTGCTCTTGCCGGTCCTGACACATCCCGCCATGGCTGCTACGCGTGTGAGGGTCGTCGCGCGCTGGGCCGCCGTCACGGCGTGGTGGTTCTTCGTCACGCAGTGGTGCTTCGGGGCGCCCCTCATCGATCGTGGGTTCCTGTGGACGGGCGGGGAATGCGAGGCCGTGGCGGAGGATATAGCCGAGGGCAGCGCCGGGCTGGGAGGCATGGTCACGTCGGTCGCCTGCAAGGCCGCGGGGGGCAAGTGGAAGGGCGGGCACGACATCTCCGGTCACGTCTTCCTGCTCGTGCTCAGCACGCTCATGATCGTGTCCGAGGTCGGCTGGGCTGTCCTGCGCTACTCGGGCTACGCCGCCGACACGAGGGCTGTGGTAAAGGCTGACGGGTCCGTCGAGGCCGCTGAGGCAGAGGCCGTCACGCCTGCGGGAGAGGGCCGCGGCAGGACCTGGCTCGGAGTCGGTGGGCAGTTTGCGTCCGCTGTCGTCGCGCTCAACCTCTGGATGGTTCTCATGACGGCCATCTACTTCCACACGTGGTTCGAAAAGGTAGGCATCTCAACCCAACTTGTGCGTCCGGTGAGGAGGAGTCGTTAACACACGCACCTGTGCAGTTTACCGGACTATTGACCGCTTTTGTGGGATTCTACGTCGTCTACATCGTCCCACGATTCGTACCGTCTGTACGCGGAGTCCTCGGGTTGCCAGGCATATAAACAAGGGTCCAGGGAATYSWGGGGGGGGGGGGGGGGGGGGGGGRGGGGGCTAAGAAGGAGTAATCTGTACACTGGTGGCGGTATATTGTTGCATAATATCGATGTTTATAAGGTGGGAGACCGATGCGCGACAATACAATTCGTGAATAAACCAGCACATGATAGGAATCCAAACCTGCCATTCCTCGTTAGCACGGAGATGCGATGTTGGCGATATAGAGAGGCCTGGTTTGAACAAGAGAAGAAATGACACTTGACCTGTTCCGCACGGTTGCGTCCCACGGTGACTTTGTCAGCGAGTCTTTGTTTGCTTAATTGCCCCGCCTCCACCCCGCGGCTTTCATCCAGCCCTGCCTCACCTGCCACAACCTCTTCATCTCTTTCCTCTACCCCATCCCACTGAGGACTCGACTCGATCAATTCTTCCACCTAGCACAGATGGCACGCGTAAAAGCTCCCCCGCAGCTTCCGGAGCTCGTCAAGACGGCCTTTGCCAACGCCCTACGCGACGACGCCTTGCACTTTTTCCCAACACAAGCGACTCTCGTAACCGTCAACTCGACGCCGGTAAGTCTGCGGCCGAACCCCCCCCCCCCCCCCCCCCCCCCCCCCCCCCCCCCCCCCCCCCCCCCCCCC